ATACTTCTCCTTTTGGGTCTCTCGAAGGCTACCCAATGTCGGTCCCTTAGGCTTTAAAAAGGTGGTGGCCATTGTGTATGAGCCTCTTGAATTGCTACCTCTGTCCCCCACTCTCTAAGTGATTTTGATTATCCACTAACTGGGCTATCTTCATAGCCTCTCCCAAATCATGGGGCCTCATCACTCTAACTGCTTCTTGGATCTCTGGTTTTAGCCCCTTTATGAAATTCCCCTCGAGTACACTCTGAGAGGGCTCGTCCAATCGACTAGCTAAGTACTCAAATCTCTCACAATATTCCATTACTAATCCTTCCTGATTCTAGGTAAGAACTGTTCATAGAAGTCCCCTCTCTTGCTAGCTTGGAAATGTTTCAACAAGCATTCATTAAACTTCATCCAGCTATATACGGGCAGTCTCATGTTTCTCCACTGGTATCATACCAATGTCTTCCCCTCCAAACATAGGCCAACTGCCATTAATCTCTCCTCCTATATCAATCCATTGACGGTGAAATACCTCTCTACCTTATTGATCCACCCATGTGCATCATCTCCCTCAAACATAGGCATCTTTAGCTTTAGTACTCGCTGATCTCCTCTATTTCTCCTTATTCCTCCATAACTTCCCACTTCCCATTCCCCAAGTGGGTGGTCCCCCTCAAGTATCCTGATCATCCCTTCCACGCTCGTACCCAAACCTTTCTTCAAATTCCCCCTTCTCCATTCAAAATCAGCACCCCTTTGCTCATACCCACTACTCATCTCCTCCATAGGAATAGGTTCTAGGGGAGGCATTCATTTTCTCCCTCCAAGATTTCCACCTCATGATTTTCCCCGCTCCTTATCGGATTAGGGTTTCCCCTACTCCCTTGGCCCCTTGTGGCTCCCCTCTTCTCACTTGTCCGATCTCCCTTTTTGGGTTGGGCCTGAAGCAACTTCCTCAACATTTCTTCCATGATGGAAAACTTTTCATCCATCTTCTCATGGACAGATAAAAGTTGATTTTTGAAATATGAAAAATTTTCCACAAAATCTGATTTGAATTGGCTGATCTTATACTTTTCTTCCAGCCATAGGTGCCTGGATCGATTGCTCTTATACCAATTTGATAGAAAACCCTTCTAAACCTTGGGCTGAAATTGAATTTCAACAAAGCCAAAAGAGTAAATGAGAAGAACTATGTGGAAGAACCCAAGGAACCTTTTTACTAGATGATTGATGAAAGAAAACAAACAAGATATAATGGATCTTCAATTGGAGAGGAAGATCTGTCTCTCCCAAACCCTAGCTGCCCACTAGAGTCCTTTCTCTCATTAGGATAACTCAATTCAGCAAAAACATAACCTCACCAAACCCTAGGTTTTACCAAACTACTTAAAGCATACAATCTATTGAAAAATATCCAAAAAAACCCTCTAATTGAATTTCCCTCATAAACTGCCCCTTTCTCTTCATTAAGCCATGGGGCCCACCCCAAGGGGAACGAGCGGCTATTGGGCAGAACTGGGCTGACCAGGCTTCCACCTGGAGTAAACATATGCTGGTCCCTTCTAGACTGGCTAGACAGATTCCTCCTGGACATGTCTAACAAATTGCTATGTATGAGCAGTTGGTCTAGTTGTCACCTCTGAAGAAATCCTTCAACTGGGCATAGAGCGAGGCCCAAGCCTTGAGACGATCGAGACCATCGAAGAAATAACTGCAACTGAAAATGAGCCAGGCAGATTTCTTAGAATCAACACCTCTTTCAGTAGGGAGCATCGGGACGAGTTGGTATAAACTCTTTGCGACAATCTCTAAGTGTTCGTATGGACAACCACAATCATGCTGGGCATCAGCGAAGAAATCATATTCCACTAGCTAAATGTATGAAGAGAATCTCATATCATCAAATAGAAGATCAGGAAAACTTTCAGCTTACTCGCCGGGCCCATTCAATTGAGTTACAACCTGATTTCAAATATGTAGAAGAGCTTGGGAGAGTACTAGAATATGAGGTGAAGTGACTCAGGAATCTAGAGATACCATTTGTATAGACTCTATGGAAGCATGAAACAAAAAAATATATATCACATGGGAGAAAAAATCAGAAAAGAGAGCTAAATATTCATATTTATCAACTGAAAATGAGCCAGGCAGATTTCTTAGAATCAACACCTCTTTCAGTAGGGAGCATCGGGACAAGTTGGTATAAACTCTTTGCAACAATCTCTAAGTGTTCGTATGGACAGCCACAATCATGCTGGGCATCAGTGAAGAAATCATATTCCACTAGCTAAATGTATGAAGGGAATCTCATATCATCAAATAGAAGATCAGGAAAACTTTCAGCTTACTCGTCGGGCCCATTCAATTGAGTTACAACCTGATTTCAAATATGTAGAAGAGCTTGAGAGAGTACTAGAATATGAGGTGAAGTGACTCAGGAATCTAGAGATACTATTTGTATAGACTCTATGGAAGCATGAAACAAAAAAATATATATCACATGGGAGAAAAAATCAGAAAAGAGAGCTAAATATTCATATTTATTCAACTAAGGTATAATTGTTTTCTTTTCCATTAAATTTTGAGGATGAAATATTTATAAGAATGGTACATTGAACGAGCTGGTTGGACTGGTTCAATCCAACTGGTCCTACGTTTTCATTAAATAGGTGAAGTGAGTAAGCGGCCGAGATAGGCGAAGTAAAGGTCAAGTTGAGGTGAAGAAGCATGGTTGAAGCGACAAGCGTGACCAATTGTGGGAAAGGATGGATGCAACTCCTCACATATGATAAGTCGAGTTTGTCCATTTCAGTGGAGTCGAACATAAGGAAGGAGTAGTCTTCACATGTGAGAGGAATTTCATTTGGTTTGTTCGCTTACATTTGGGGAAGTTGAAGGTAGATAGAGTTTGTATGCGAAGGAAGAGGTTGTGCTGTGGGTTAGTGGCTTCAATTTATTGAAAAGAAGGTTTGTCTGGTGCTGTTCGATGAAAATAAAAGGAAGTGTTTCGTATTTCGATCAGTATAGAGGTGGGCTATTCGATTCTGAGTAGTATAGTGCTATATTGAGTAAAAGAGGAGTTCGTTCATTGGGATATTGTATTGACATGTGAAGGTAAGTAAAATTTAATATTGAAGAAGAATTATGAGTGAAAATTTATTTGATTATTTTGCGTCGGGATTCGGGAAGGAAGAAGAAATAATAGTCAACGATCTGTGAGATCTCAACTCGACTAGGAGGAATAAATTAGAGGTAAATAATGCAAACTATTTAAAAATTATTTCAACCATTTTTATGGAATACGTTGGGCAATGCATTTAGAAATGTAGCTTAATAATTTTAGCAAAGTTCGATGTGTTTGACGTTGTCTTTAACAAAGTTCGATGCATCTTATGTTGCCTTGGATGATGTTTGAGGCACAATGTTGCTTTGACAATGTTTGAGGCATTTGATGTTGCTTTGACGATGCTTGACTTCTCCAAGGTTAATTTTAATTTTTAATTAATACTACTAATGTTGTTTTGGATGGTGGAAGAATCAAGCAGTATAGTTGAGGCAAAAGTACTGCAAGCAAGTGTTCTCGGGGAAAAACTTTTTAAGGGTTAAATTGTTAATGAAAATTTAATTTGGATTTAATGTTAATGTAATTTTAAAATACCTGTTCAGGTTGACATAATTATATCCTTGATGGTTAGATTGTACCCTAAGGAAGACAAATTAAGAATTTCAGAATCCAAAAGTGAAAAGTTTGGACCTTCGAATGGAAAGTAAAGTGGGTAATTACATGTTATTTTTTAGCACTTATAGTTCTATTATCATTCAATGCATTGACTGATGCCGTACCTCACATGTTACTTGCATATTTTTGTAAAACTATTTTATACTATAATGATCAAATTAAATGACTTGTACTACAAAATAGTATACCTTAAATGAGATAGCATCACATTGAAATTAATGACTATATGAAAAAAATTATGAGAAAAAATATTATATGAACAATATTGAATTGGAAAAGGTATATGTATGTAAATATAAGAATTTATTTCCTTATGTTACTAGCTGAGGATGCAATGTACTCATGCATAATAAATGAAAAATGAATTGGAAATGAAAGCGGAAGTGCCTTAATTGATACTATTTAGATGGTTTCTTGAAATAAATGAACTATTAAAATAATAAAATTAAAAGAAATAGAAATTTTGAAAAATATTTTATAAATCAAGAAATTATATTATTCAAATCTATATTAAATATTTATGTGTACATTAAATGAAAGTTTAATAAATTAGTATGACTACTTATATGCATGTTATACTGCTCTACTATAAATTATAATTGATCACTGAGTTGTTATTGAAAACTTAAATTATTTCAAGTAAATCCGTGATTAAATGACTAATCGAGGTTTCATGTACAAAAGAAAAATGTCAACTGAAAATAAGTAAGAACTATTTTATCATATATTTAGATGAGAAATTATTTTTGTAGCTCTTCAGTAAAGTTGGATGTTTATTTTGTTGGGCGTTTAATATTTTTGAAAGAATTATGAATTCCGTTCAACCTTGTTTTCCCTTCTTGTTAATTCGAGCCTCTGAGCCGGATCGTGACATCTTTGACGTAGAAGAAATCATGATGATCTAAAAAATAAATAAAATTAAAATCGAGAAAATACTAATATAACATAAACTTGGCAAAATGAACACTAGAACTTTGAATTTGCTCATTTCATTGCACATATCCCACATTTTTGACAAGCATAAACTTTTAGATTTGCATCACTGCTAATATTCAAGAACAAAGGAATAATTTATATTTATTCTAATATCTCATCGGAACCTACATTTTATAATGAGTTTTTTTTTAAGTTGTATTTGAAACATGAAGATATACTGTATCCAGATTGATAGATCATTTAGCTTTCTGCTTCAGTAATTCAGTTACCCGGCACTTCTAATATTCCATCAATTTCGGTGCAAGCATCTTCTAATGCTCATCAATTTTTGTAACAGGAGTTAACGGTTGCTCTCTAAAGCAAGCAGAGAATCTAAATGTTGTGAGAGGCATTCCTACTGAAAAAATGATGATTGAGACTGACGCACCATATTGTGAGATCAAGAATACTCACGCTGGAATTCATTTAGTTAAGTCAACTTGGCCTTCTAAGAGAAAGGAAAAGTATGATCCTAATTTTATTGTTAAAGGGAGGAATGAACCTTGCCTTGTCAGGTAACTGGAATACGAAAGCTTCCTTTCTGCAGTTATTGTGTTTCGTCATTTTTTTATGTAAGTATTTTGTTTGCAGACAAGTCCTTGAGGTTGTTGCTAGCTGTAAGGGAATCAACAACATAGATCAACTTGGAAGAACCCTGTACCATAATACCTGCAGGTAATATGGCCAATGCATTTATTAAGGTTTTCGGAATTTACCTTAGGATAATCTTCGATGCTACGTGGTAGCTACTGAGGAGAGTTGTAGCCTAGGAATTTCGTTTTTTATTACTTTTTCTTTTTTGCATCCTTTTGAGCAGGATTTTACTTTTTCTGTTTCCCATCAAGCCAACCTCACTATAAGCATTCTCCAAGTAATATAACTTTATTTGTTAAAGCTGAGTCCATTCCAGTTGGCATTATCTGTGTTAGGCCTTTTTCATGCTGGAATCTATGTTCATTGTCGCTTAGGTTTCGTTTGGGATGACTTTCTTACTATTTCTTAAAGCAAATTTTTCATACAAAAAATTTAATTTTTGTACTAAAAACCTATTTTAAGAAGCAGTAAAAAAGCTATCCCAAACGAAGCCTTAATACGACATTTTCCGTGTTTATCGTTCTTTTAATATGAGTAATGACAAATCATGGTGAGGATGTTACATCCAGCCACTTGTATAAACAGGATGAATGAGGAATCTTCAATTCTGCAGAAGTTCCTGCCTTGTAACAATTTTAAATTATTGGAACATAGGCATGCAATACTTAAGGTGAAAAAACCTTAATATTCTATTGGTAAACTATTCTTTTTATAGACGAAGAACTCGATTGAACAGCCAATTAATGAAGATGAAATATACACAAGAATCACTTACTCTAGAACCCAACACATATACAAAAGGATTAGCCAGAAATCAGAATGCACAGGAAACCCTTTACAAGTTACCGCCTTCTTTAATGTAAGATTACAAGCTGTTGATTATCTCTGCACAGCAAAGTTGTTCCCGAGTAAAACTAGTACATAATATTTTTATTTATACTGTCTCTAAAAGAGGTGCTATATATACAAATAGTTTTATGTGAGAAGAAATATATCCCCTTGTTAGAATCAGATTGAGTAATCCCTTGCTTCTCTCGGATGTCAAAGCTTGTCGTGTTCGCTGGGTGATGCGGTGGGGGGGGGGGGTTTACCTCCTGCTTGGGTTTGGGTGCTTTACATATGATTTTTTTCCCATACTGCGCCTTGGCGATGTGTTCCCAAGCTCTCCAATGCTGAACGACAGAGAGTAAAGCGCTGCAGTGGTATAAATATGGCACTGCAACGGTGCAAGACAGAGGCTTGAGCGTCACAAACCCCCAAACTGGAGCCGCAGCGCTACGAGACAGACTAGATAGTTTTCTTTCTCATTTCTCTGAAGGGTTGCATCTCTTGGGGTTATTGTACTTGGCTTTCTGTTGTATTTTGAGTGTGTAGACATTGAGAATGGTGCATGTGAAAAGAGAAGCAAGGAGAGTGAGAGAGAAGATATATATGTACTTATTTCTTCCAATTTTCATAGTGGATTTCTTGGTGTGATATTGCTCCATGTTTTTGTTGCTATTTTGGGGTTTTCCACGTTAAATCCTGACGTCCTTTACTTTTCCGCTACTTTTTTTACTTTCTTGCTTGTTTCATCATTGCGGTGTTTACTCCTCATCTCCCCAACACTTGGTATCCGAGCAGTAAGCTTCACAACTTTCTCTTAGCCCGATGGCAGATCAGGATTCCTCTAGCACCTAACCAACTTCCTCTCTCTCTGCTTCAATGTTAGAATATATCATACCCTCCCCACTTAAATTTCTCATGTCAAATATCAAACTCATTGTCAACATTTAGCTCACCAACGACAACTACTCCATATGGCGACTCCAAGTATACAAACTATTTTCGGCAAATAAATTTGAAGGCTACCTAACTGGTCGACTCCGTTGCCCACCTGAGCCCACTCCATCTTCCATCATTCCCACCTCAGAGATCACTAACTATCGTTTATGGCAACTTATAGACTAGAATTTGGTTTCAGCCCCTCTTTTCTACTATTTATTCTCTCTCCATTCTCCCTTACATTCTCAATCTTACCACAACTTATGAAATTTGGACCACCCTTGAGCACTGATTTCAACCCACCAACAAATCTCGAGTGATACAACTGAAAAACGAACTACATAACATTCAAATGGGCGACCGCACCATGACCCAGTACCTCACCCAAATTAAGGCACTGGTGGACAACAATATTGCCGCTGCGGGCTCTCATATCGATTATGAGGATATAATCTTATATATCCTAAATGGTTCGTACGTACAACTCATTCAAAACATATATTCAAACCTTCCTTCATCCCATTAGTCTGGATGTGCATTACTCCCTGCTCTATAGTGAGGAGATCAACCTACAAATTGAATTACTCAAAGAATTAATCCCTCCCAAAGACAATATGACACTGTACTTTAATAGGACACCCACTCCAGCCAATCAAGGTCGTAATGTCTCCAGTCAGCCTCGCCCCTCTCATGGATGAGGAAGCTCACCTTGACCACAATTCACAACTGGCCGTGGACAGCCCCTCCTCACTGCTTCACGACCAATTTGCCAAATCTGTAATACACAATTCACACTACTCTCACTTGTTGACATCGATTTAACCTGTAATATGTACCTACAACCACCTGGCCACCTCGAGCTCTCCTCTAACACCAACAAAACACTTCCCCTACAGAATGGGTGCTTGACTCTGGCGCCTCCACCCATCTGACCTCAGATGCCTCCAACATACAACAATCCACTCCTTATCATGGTTATGATAGTATCTCAATTGCCAATGACACCTCCCTCCCTATCCATCACAGTGGACAAGGCATTCTACCTCTCCTAGACTCCACCCGTAAGCTATTCCTTCATAATCTACTTCATATTCCTTCTCTATCCCATAACCTTCTTTCCATACACAAGCTTACATCTGACAACAATTGTTCCATTTCTTTTAATTCATTCAGCTTTATCATTAAGGATTTTTCAGACAACCAAATTCTACTTTGTGGTTGTAGTCATGATGGACTCTACCCTGTCCTGGCACATCAATCATTTTCCACCACTGCATTTCACAGTAACATCCTCAACTTCATTATGGCATGCTTGCCTAGGCCATCACATCATTGAAACAGTACATAAACTAATGCTTAAAGCCAATCTACGTCCTTCTCTTTGCATCAATGATCTCTACTTCATTGTCTATCTCATTAATTGATTGTCCTCTCCAACCACAAACAATCTCTCCACATATCAATTACTAAACAACAAACACCACAATATTTCCGCCTCAAAAGCTTTGGATGCTAGTCTATCATTGGCTTCAACCATAATCAACAAACAAATTGGAACTAGACAAACCCTTATCAAAAGGATACAAAAACAATTTACTCACGGGCAAACTTATTCTATCATGACATGTTACATTTGATGAGCTCAAATTCCCATATCAAATCAAATCACTTCAATCCAACAATCATGACATGTCGTGTTTGATGACTCAAATTCCCATATATCAAACCAAATTCAATTCAATCCAACAATCCCTTACTGCAACTTTTCAACTGTCACTCACTTGCCTCAAATATCAAGTTTTTAGGTTCACCCTCAATACAACTAACTACTCATCCAAGTCTAGAGACTCATCCTACAACTATCCCCTCTAACTAACACTTGTAACTTGCAAACAATATCTCCCCACATCACCACATACCGTAACTAACACATCATGCCTGACGCAAACTAATTATTTTGCTACTTCTACCAATCCAATGCAAACTCATCTCAAGGCTAGAAACCTCAAACTTAAGGGAAAATTCTAATAGATGGTAGTGAGACTTGCAATGCTTTATGGTGCAGAATGTTGACCATTAAAAGAGAAGCATAATATTAAGTTAAGTGTTGTAGAGATCATGATGCTCAGGTGGATGAGTGGCTTTACTCTTAAAGACGGGATATGAAATGAGCATATACGTGAAAATGTTGGAGTAGCTCCAGTGGAAGATAAGATTAGAGAGAGTCGACTTAGATGCTTTGGTCACATAAAACTGAGGTCTTCCGATGACCCAATTAGGAAAATAGATGTATTAGATTTAACTTATATTAAGAAAGGTAGAGGTAGACCTAAAAAGACTTGTTAAGAAAAATATTAGAAATGAACTTTTTTTTTATTAGATTTAGTATTTAGATGACAATTTGACCTTAAAAGGACAATGGAAAAAAAAAGATTCATGTAGTCGACCCCATATAGTGGGATAAAGGTTTGTTGTTGTTGTATAGTCATATGCATCAAACTATATCTCTCCTTCATAACCAATTGTTATTTACTCTCAATATAAAAGAAACATAGCCTCTATTGTTCCATTATTGAATTGATGGCTTTCTAACATTTCCGTCTTCATCTATTTTTTTTTTTTGCCTTCTGGGTCATCTATCTGATTATCTCTTCCATCATATAAGTCCAAAAAATATAAGCATCTTGAGTCAAAGGGGTATGTTCTGTCTTAACAAAGATTGACACTCTGAAATTCGATGAATGTTGTTTTCTTAGAAAGACAAGCTAATAGATGTTTAGCACAGGAATACAAACTCTTGACTACATACATTTGGACTTCTATAGGTCTGACAAGGTGTTTTCAAGAGGTGGAGTTATGCTGTCACTCATTGATGATTACTTAAATAGAGTGAGAGAATCTATGCTCATGGGAAATAAGTAAAAATTTAGCCTTAGAGTATCACATTTCTCCAATTTAACCTCACAACTATAAAAAATTGATCACAAATAATCCTTTATGTATAGATTGATAAAAATGGAGATACAAAATTGATCATAATTTAGTCCTTTAATTATACAAAGTTGATCTCAATTTGATTCTAAATGATCATTTGGGAACAATTTTGCATAATTGATGAACTAAATTGAGAATATGGGAGAGAGTTATGGAGTACAGGTTATGAAGTGATACTAATGTTTCTCAAAATCAATTTGGATTCATGCCAGGTAGGTCTACTATAGAAGCTATACACTTATTCAGAGGTTTGATGGAGAAGTATAGAGAGACAAGGAGGATCTACTTATGATATTTATTGATTTAGAGAAAGCATAGGATAA